TTTTGTTCAAGTAGATTCAGTTTTTTGTTTGATGCAATTAACAAGAAATCGTCTGCATATGCTTGGAGGTAGGTTCCGTTGGGCATAGGAGTGGCCAACAAATCGTCCATAATTAGATTCCACATGATGGGGCCGCACACAGAGCCCTGTATGCAGCCGCGCGACATCTCCCTTGAGGATTCAACATCCGACAACCTGATGACCACTTCTCTGTCTGTTGTGTAACTAACTAATGTGCCATAGATATTTTTCGGGCAATTAATTCTTTTTAATTGTTTAAAGATTGCAGGCCACCAGGCACAGCGACCTGCTGTCCAGCGCTCTTAGCTTTTCTGATTGCATTGACTGCCTGATTTATTGCCATAACTGTAGATTTTTGAAGTTTGAACCCGAATTGTTGATCATTGTCACTTTGATTTGTATACATGTGATGAGTTAAACGGTTCATTAATAGTTTTTCATATAGTTTCCCAAAGACGGAAATAAGGCCGATGGGACGATATGATGATATGACATCGTATTTGTCTTTACCAGGTTTGGGTATTATTTTTGCAACGGCCCTTTTCCAGGGCTTGGGAAAATACTGAAGTTCGAATGCTCTATTGATTATATTGTGTATAATTTGTGGGCATGCCTCCATAGCTACTAAGCAAATATCGGCTGTAAGGCCATCATATCCGGGTGATTTTTTGCTATTGAATGATTTTAGTGTTTCTATTATTTCTATTGTGTTAAACGGTGGTTCATTTGGTGAATTAGGGTATGAATTCATTTCCGATCTTATATTTTTCTGTGTGGTATTATCAGGTGTATCAGATGGGAATAGACCCTCTACGAAATACTTTGCAGTCTCGTCAGAGGTGCTGGTATATGTGCCATCCGTTTTCTTGATAGTTGATGGAGGGTGCGTAACAGGATTAGTTCTTATAATCCGGTTTGTGACTGACCACACATTCTCTTTATCCTGTTTATTGCAGAACTCCTTGAAACTTTTTGTAGATGCTTCTTGGATAGCATTTGCATATTCTTTTTTTATTTTAATCTTTTCTTTTATAAGTTCTTCTATTGGTAATTTCCTGCGAACAGCTTTGGAAAGTTTGTGATGGTTGCTTATAACTCTCTTTTTCAGGTTATCAAGATCTTCAGTCCACCAGTGTGGTCTTGTAGGGCGACCAGAGGAGCGTGGTAATACTTGTTTACACGTTTTATTTATGGTTTCTATAAATTCTTCTATATATTAATCTAGTTGTATTTTATCAAAATTTAAAATATTGTTAATTTCATTTTCATTTATATATGTACATAATTTGTTTTTAAATTCTAATTTTCTACTGGGGTTCCAAAATTTGGCACCACCAGTATTATATTTCCAAGTAGAACATTTAATACATTTAGTTAATTGATTAGTTACACCTATATTAATTTTAAAAGTAATAGCTGAATGATCAGATAAAGTAATAATATCGTGGTCTATTTTCCACTCAGTGATACTGATGCGTGTATTATTGTCAGTGATCATAGTCAGGTCTATATTAGATGACCTTATTTTATTGTTGCTTATTGTTGAGTATGTAGATTCGTTTCCTTCATTCAGCAGTATAAGATTATGGTTTATTAACATGTTAACAATTTCATCACCACGGTGACTGCAACACTTGGAGCCCCACATGGTGTTCCAAGCGTTGAAATCCCCCGTGATTATGTGAATTGCGTTGGGATTTAGGTTCAAGAAAGTTTTTAATCTATTGAGTGTATTATTTGGTTCGTTTCTAGGTTCTATGTATATTGAATGTATAAAAATAATATTGCCGAAGTGATCTTTTGCTTGTATTATAGTAATGTTGTCAGTAGTTGCTTGATTTATTAACATTGCACTAGACTTATTGTTTTTAATTCCAATGGCTGATTTGTTTTTACAAGTGGAGTTAATTTTATTTGTATTGTAAAATAGAGTGTAGCCATCAATAGGCTTAATAAATTGTGCTTTACCCGTATAAGGTTCCGTAATCAATAATATATCTATTTCATTGGTTTTACTATATGCTATAAATTCATTGTGTACTTTTTGATTTCTGTTAAAGTTAAGTTGTAAACAGTTTAATTGATTAGATCGTCGTAAGTTACAATTATTTTGTGCCATAGTCAGTGTTTTCCATTGTCTTGGCTGCTATAGCCTGTCTTATAGGACATTGGGCTGATGTGGAGGAGTGATTAAGAGGATTATTTTTCCCGAATTTTTGATTATTTTTCAAACAACTAAAACATTTAACAGTGGCTTTATCTTTTTTGAGTGAGCATTGCCCGAATACATGCAGGTTTGACGCACAATGTGAGCAGTTTGTTTCTTCGTTTAAGCATTTACTTTTTGTATGTCCAAATTGTAGGCATTTGAAGCATTGTAATGTAAGGTAAGGTAAGGTAAGGTAAGATAAGGTAAGGTAAGGTGTAGTTATACCCCTTTAGTGGGTGAGTTTTTGAAAAATCTTAGCGCACGCCTATATATATATTTCTGAAAAGTTGCATGTAGATCATTTTTCGAAAAAAATAAGGCCATAAAGAAGTTTCACTTCTTACGTGTGTACACTAGTACACGCACACATTTTTTTTTTTACTTGAATGAACTGCTAGTATCAAAATCATTTTGGTCCGACTGTATAGGGTTGCTACATGCATACTAGTGGCGCCGTCATTTAATGTCACGACTTTATAGACAAACTGTACTTTGGTACATATTACAATAGTAGACTTAACTGTTCTTCCAGGGCCCAAACGGTAATACTTCACACTAGGTTAGGTTAGGTTAGTGTCGTGACCATGACGCGCGAGCCGAGCGAGCAAAGCGAGCGTGCCACGACAGCGGCCGGCGAAGCGCCAAAAAAAACTCTATTCAAAGAAATCTTTTCTATAAACGTAATTCAAGTATCACCTCTTAGGCCCTGGAAGTACAGTTTTACAGTATAACTTTGCACGGCATTGATTCTCATCCGCACTTTGTACCTCAACCACAGTTTCCAAAATGTCATATTTTGACAGCCAGTAATAGTCCATAGATTTCTTTTGCGTTTTTTTTGCTCTTTTTTTTGCTCCTTAATTTGTTTCGGCGAAAACCCTTTTGTCAACTTTCTTCCTCATTAAATAACGAATTATGCACTTTTCCACTGCGAGAAACAATATTGTCGGCAGCGGCCGCCATATAAATACATAAACAAAGCGCTTGCAGCGCCTCTACCGGTAATTAATGTAACTACTTTACAATATGATCAAATAATTTTTGCCATTTCATGAAGTAGCCACGCGTTTAGTTGGCCATATCGTGAAACGATTTCTCATCATTGATCTGCCCAAACCACATCATGATGTGGCCAATACATAGAGTGAAACATTTCATGAAATGCGACCATTTCATGAAATTCTCGAGCATTTCATGAAGTGATCAAATCTACGATATGGCCACGACATCCACACTGATTGTCACAATTTTTCACTAGACTGTCATATTTTGAATTTACATTTTATTTTTATAGAAACATGACAGTTTATAGACAGGACTAAGGTCTACTAATAGGTAAGACTTTAGCCCATTTCCAAACTAACGGAAAAACACCAGTAGATAAAGAATTATTAAAAATAATATTTAGTGGATATGATAGAGAAGAAGCACAGTTTTTTAGGAATAGGGCTGGCACTCCATCCGGACCTGGACCTTTCCTTGGATCAAGATTCTTCATCGCTTTTTCAATGCATTCTACCGACAGATATATATTAGAAAGGGAATTGTTATTGTCATAAGATGTACTGCCAACGTGTGGCTTCTAATGAAGAGCACGATCATTAGCCACGTATACCGATGAGAAGTGTTGTGCAAAGGCATTACAAATTGACTGAGGAGTATCAAACTTGGTATCATCCAAATGCATTACAGAGGGCATCGTAACGGCTTTCTTGCGATTGTTTTTGACATAGCTCCAGAAGGCTTTAATGTTATTCTTGTTAATAGAGTTTTCAATATTATACAAATATCGACGGTAACATTTTTTTATTAGTAAATGACATCTATATCTTGCCTCTTTGAACTCAAAATCATCTACAGGATTATTATAAAGCTTTAGTCTCTTCCGTAATTTTTCCTTTTCTCTAAGCATTTGAATAAGGGTTTTAGAGTACCATGCAGGATACTTATTACATTTTGCAGAAACGTTAGGTACGTACCTTTCTATAGTTTCATTGACTATAGAATAGAATGAATTAACCATAGCATTGACTGAGTCTGTATTTCTGAGTTCTTGATCCCAATCAACACAATCAAATTTTTTATTAATTTGATCATAATCTGCACGATAGAAATTAAATTTTAAAATTGTCTGCTTTTTCAAACATTTATAAACTGTAAAGTCAATGTTAATATTAATCGATGGATGATGTGTATCAAGACTCACAAGAGGATCATCTACAACACCAACATTAACAGATGAACCACTTGAGAAAACTAAATCTAGCAGTTTATTATTCCCATTCATAATATTATTAAACTGCGTTAGATTATTTAATGACATGAAATCAGACAAGGATTGATAGAAAATACAATTTCTGAATTTGGGAGACATAGCTGACGATGACAATGATTGACATGGGACCTATTCAATATTTCCCAGATTAAAGTCGCCTATAATTAACATTTTATCGTGAATGTCTAGTGAAGAACTAGAAATATTGCTGAGCAAATTATCGAGGTCTACTGAGGATACAGGTGGTGGGAGATATAAGGCACATATAACTAATTTACCTAAAATTCTCTTGGAGTCAGAGATCGAAACCTATAAAACCTCAGAACTGCTTTCCAAGTATGGAAGACGAGAAGACGTAAGATTATTAGAGACAGCTATAAGGACTCCACCTCCGTTCTTTTTGATAGAAGATGTAGTGGCGCGATCTGTATGATGATAAATCCGGGAGTTATTATTTAGAATTTCCGCATCAAATACACTGTCATGTCTCCGTCAAAACAATTACATCATAACTTTGGTTAAGACTAGATGTATATAATTCATGTAATTTATCACGTATACTTCTAACATTTTGATAATAAATATTTAGTTGATCGAATTTTGTATTAATATGGATAATAATACTCACTATAAACTAAAAAAAATAAAAAGAATAAGAGAAAGTCAGTGCTTCAATGATTGAAGTATATCACCATTCCGGATCCAAAGAATAGGGGACTCGTCATCTTTTCTCATTAGAATACGACCGTTTCGAACTCATAGATATTTGTACTTTGCCTCCTTTCTAAATAAACGGGCTTGAGCATGCAAAGAGCGATTACTTGGAGACAAATGTTCACTCAAATAAATTTGTTCCTTGTCTCCCGCCAAACCCAGGAGACCACTGTTGAGTTTGTCGTCAGGGTGAACTTTATTATACGCGAGACAGGTCGCGATCATACTATCACGAACTCGAGGTGAGGACAGTTTTACTATCACAGTCTTGGGTCTTTTTGATTTAGGGTTCAACTTGGCTACTCTCGTGCAAGACAGTATATTTTCCAGTTCCAGCGGACAACTCAACACCTTAGCGTGTTGTATTACAGTGTTGGGTAAAATCTCTTTGGAGAATTCAGGTAAGCATTGGATTTCCAAATTGCACCCACGTGCCTGCTGTTCTATGGTATTCACTTTGTCTGTAAGCTCATTAACGATCCCAGTTAACTTTAGGTCCTCCCGGCGCAAATCTATAGTTGATGTCTTAAGTTTTTCCAGTTCAGTGTTCACGTCATCATATCTGTTTGACAAAAAATCGATAGTTTGTTTCAAATCAGGTATAAGTTTAACGGCGTTCTGCAAAGCTTCGAGTTCCGAGCGAAAGATGGATTCCATTTTCTTACGCAAAGAAGTTTCCAACTGGGATAGCTTTTTATCCAGCACATCCTGGAATTGACTATGCTCCTCGGAGACTGCTGTGTCATCTTTAATTGGAGTGTTAGTGTTGTCGCCTCGTTTTCGTGGAACTTTACATTCTGGACATTTCCATGAGCCTTTAGCTGACAGTTTGACAAAATTTTCTTTAGTTATGTTGACACAGGTATAGTGATAGACATTAGAACAGGCCGTGCATGAGATCTTTTCAGTGTTGACTATGTTAAGGCGACATCCATCACATAGATTTATGACAATTGAAATTAAAAATATCAAAGTATTTACATTTTGTATTTAAATACATTTTATAAAGTTTGCACATCTCTGCACTACATGGGACACTCAGAAAGTTTTGAGAAACTAAAAAACTGTTTATTTCTCGCGATTGTTTTCGGAATCTGAATCTGAATCTGAGTGCACTCTGGCCGCACCCTGAGTCTGAATCTGAATCTGAATCTGAGTGCACTCTGGCCGTACCCATAGGTATATTTAAGAACGGCTACGTAGTTACGCACAGGTGTCGATTCTGGGAGGATTCTCTGAACCAGAACAACGGAAGAATAAAGAATGACAAGGTATCCTTGCCATGCTCTATACATAATGAAAGCGAGAGACAGGTTTTATATTTAGTTTAAATAGTCATGCCAAAATGAACAACAACGCCGCAATATTAACCGCGCAATAAAAGTAAAACGCTTGCATTTCCCCCATTTCCAATATACAGGGCGTCCCACGGGTACCTCACACGGAGGGAAAGTATATTAAATATTGAAGATAGGATATTTTACCGAAAGAAGACATCATTTTATGATGTCGCCTACCATCTATAATAATTGTCTGAGCACATTTGCATCTAGTGAAAATGATAATATATTGGTGGATATTAATACCACAGTGTAATAAAAAAAATGATTTATTTTATTGATCTTTACAAAATAGATTTGTTTATATGTTATATAAACCACCCATAGCCATTAAAAATGATTCGTATATTTTCTAAACCGCTAATATTAAAAGTCCTTTTTAAAGTCAATATATTATACAAAGGTGTCCGTTGAAATCTAAAGACTGTAAATTAAATTATAAATAAACGTCAATAATTACCGTGTATGTCAATATTTTTTGTGCATTTAGGCCAATTTGAGCAATCTCCTTTGAAAATCGAGGTGATATTTTTACTTTTAAAAATAATTACAAGTGGTCAGTGTCTTATACATAAAAACTTTTTTTCGCAAAACTCTTGAGTAGCCTGGTATAGGTACATCCTTATTTACAGTTTGTCTATAAAGTCGTGACATTAATGTTTGTGGAACTAACATTATTCATGTGTCTGGCAACACCAAACTTATGTAGAGTCCGCGCCACTACTCAAGTCCGACGGCGAAACGTCGAACTAAATGTGACAGCTCCGCCATGTTGTCGTTTGTCAGGTGTGTGCGTTGCGAGTGTTGTTTGTAGATTTGAGTTGTTTTTTATTGGAAGGAGATTGATTATGGAGCGTAAAGTGATAAGAAGTGCAGCCAGAGAAGTAATTCTTAAGGTGAAACAGTTTTGTGAGCTGGAGAAGAAAAATAACAATGTTTTGATCCCTTTACAAAATGTTCAAATGCGAGTCGCTGCCATGACAGGTAAATTTTAGGGTTGTAAGGTCATTGATGTTTACCTCATTTTATGGAGTAACATTTTCTGTAAGGCTTGTGTCAAGTTTAAATAATTTATACAAAAAAATGTTTGTGTTGCATTTTATTGTAGTTTTATATTTATTAATTTCAATTTATAAATAAAGTAGTCAGTTTTCACCTTTTTTCGGTTGCGAGTACAATATATTGTTTAATGATGAATCAATTAATAATAGTTTAAACTGATTTCTTTGTGATTTTAGGTGTGTCTGTTAAAACGGTGTCAAGATCTAAAGAAGGAAAAACTGCAGTGGCAACATCAAATAAAATTGTTACTCCTGGAAAAAGTCGTCCACAAGCTAAGAAAATTGATTTGGATGACTTTGATTTGTGTTGCATACGCCAAAAAATTCATTTTTTCTATGTGGTGAAAAAAGAATTGCCTACTGTTAATAAACTGCGTTTGGAATTAAAAAGGGATATAAATTTTCAAGGGAGTAATACAACTTTACGAAGAATATTGAAACTGTTAGGTTTTTGATTCAAACGTTGTCAATCTAAACGCAGTGTTGATGGAGCGACATGATATAACTGCTTGGCGCGCCAGGTACATTGAAAGAATGAGGAAAAATAGGCTAGTTGACAAAAGGCCTGTGGTGTACTTAGATGAAACTTACATTCATCCGACATATCACGCTAAAAGCTGTTGGCAAAGCAAAGAAGAAGATGGATTATTGATATCAGAATCAGCTGGAAAACGTTTTATAATTGCACATGCGGGTACTAAGAGCGGATTTGTAAAAAATGCGTTATTAATGTTTAGGTCACAATCAAAATCTGCAGATTATCACGACGATATGAACGCCACAAACTTTTTGAAATGGATGACTGAAAAAGTGGTACCAAATCTGCCTGAAAAATCTCTTGTGGTAATGGATAATGCTCCGTATCATTGCACTCAGATAAACAAAGCTCCTACGATGTCAAGCTCAAAATCACATATGCAGGAGTGGTTACGACAAAAACAAATTTATTTTGAAGAGAGATGGACTAAACCAGTGTTATATGATATCATTAAAAGAAACAAAGAACCACCGCTCTTTGCAGTTGATGAACTACTGAAACAACACAATCACGAAGTGGTAAAATTACCTCCTTACCACTGTGACCTAAATCCTATCGAAAAAATTTGGAGTTTGGTAAAGAGACGCGTTGCTGATAAAAATGTTGCTCAAGATCCAAAAAGAATAATATAATTGACAGAAGCTGCTTTTGCTAGTGTTACGCCAGAAGACTGGCGTAACACTAGCAGTGTAACCACGTGGAACATCTTGAAGATGAGTACTTTAAAAATGACGGACTAGTTGATGTGGAAATGGAGAGATTCATAATATCAACAGAGAGTGATAGTGATACTGAATCTGATGATTCCACCGAGGAAGAATTGAGCAACAGTGATTGCGATATATCTGGCGTAAAAGAATTGTATCATGATGACCACAATTATTGCATTAAATTATATTAAACTTTATAATATTGTTTTATTGATAAATATTCTTTGTGTCATTATTTGAGTTACAAAAAATATTTAATTCCGATGAATAAAAATAATTTTGAAGTAATGAGATGTGGGAGAAAATTTCTTCCTACTGGCAACATTTTGTTACAAGACAGAGGCGCCGCGTCTATCGGACATGAGTCGTGGCGCGGACTCTAGAATACATCACTACATCATCTTCATCATCATCTTCTACATCAGCTGTCATCGAGACTCATCGAGTTTCAGTTGTGGAACAATTTTCGTTTTGTATTTTTTATTGTTTAGATTAAACTTTTATAAATTAAGACGAAACTACACAGAAAGGTATAAAAATGAGTAAAGTAAATCGGAGTGGCACGCGGGAAGTGATTTTTAAATTTTTCCAGCGATGTTTCGAAGACTACCAAGCTGGACGAATAGGGAAGATGCATATATAATATTTATGAAAATTTTATGATTAAAATGTTAAAAAAATATAAAAGAAATGCCACTGCAACGTTTTTATTTTACATAATGTTGTTTTTTAACAATTATTACGAATTAAAAATACTTGAAACGGAACGTATATTAAAACACCAATCAGAGTTTAGTGACGTCACTCCTGTTATGACAACTTCTTTGAGGTTATGGTTGTTAAAGTTAATATTATTTTATGGGAATATTTATTGCGTTTTTTTACATTTAATAAAAATGGAAGTTGCGTTTATCATAGCAGACTCCAGGAATTTACCAAGAGTTAGCGTTGACATGGTTATAACTTTTTTTTGTCCAAAGTGCAGAGTTTTTAAGTGTAGAAATGAAAGGGACTAAATTACTACGGTATGTAAAAATCGTAGTTGTTAAACTTCGTATTTTATTCAGCGGCTTCTACAAATCTTACGTCGATAATGCATTCGGCTATGTACAGTAAAAGGTCGAGTTCTCCGGAGCATAAAGTACGTAAAGAAGGTTATCGTGTTACAGTTATTTTAAATGAAACGCAAAGCTTGGTTCAGTCCTGCCAATGTGAAGATTGTGCTACACATTTTAAACTTTATCTAATTTTCGACGTCATTCTCCAACTGTAAAATTAAAAATATGTTATAGACAGGTTTTGTAAGTATTAGGTAGGTTACTAATGCGTTTTTACGTACAAGCAGATTAATTAAGCATATAACAAGTATATTCGCCGACACACGTCAAAGTAATCTTCGCAGCATCGAATAATGGTCTTTGGAGAATAATTGTCATTTCTCTTCGCAGCTTGAAACCACTTTTTTTCAGTTTTGGGTTAGAAGTTCCAGTCAAAAAACAGCACAAAACATGAGTCAACACGGCTTTTTTTCGGAATATTAGTGGTATTGTTATGATCACATGATGTTGATGGATAGTAGATTTTAAATTTTTCAAAAAAATATTTCAAAAGTCGAAAAAATATGCAAAAGTATGAAAGGACATCGACGAATTCGGCCCTAGCATGCCCAAAAGAATGTCCTTCACTATTATTTTTCTATTATTTTTTTAACTTATTAACAATTTATCATAGTAAACGGACAATCTGTTTAAAAAATAAAAGTTCTCTTACTAGATACTACAGTCAGTTCATCCAACTTGGCACTCCTTTTTATTGAAAATACAGCATTAAAAATCAACTGATAACTGGATTCAATAGGTTTCAGTCTATAATAACGATTTATTTTAATAGTTTATTTTCTTCGTTAATATTTTATTATTAAATGGGTGATTCTGTTAAAAAGTTGTGCCAAGATTGTTTACCTTAGTTATGCAATATAGGCGACCATAGGTATTTATCAACATAAAAATAGAACTTACCTTAGTTAATAGTACTTATTACTAGTATTTATATTATATTTATAAAAAGATTATTTCTGAAATTATCTAAAGATAGTTTATACTCCCATCCCATGTAATATATGTTTATTTTTATGAAAATCGTAATGGTAACCAGGTACATACCTAATTACCG